CCTCTCCTTCCCTCTCCCTTCTCTCCTTTCTTCTGTCCCTCTCTTTTTTCTTCTGTCCCTCCTTCCTCCCTCTTTCTGTATGCATAATGTGTGTGTGCACGAGTGTGTATACAAACACATACACATAACACATACTTGAATAGGTATTAAATAATATAAGAAAAGACAGTTGTCTGATCTGCTTCTTTTGTAATTCAGAAGTGTTTAGATTTAGAACCCACCCTACTTGGGTATGATCTAATTAACATAACAAAGAGAACCCTATTTCCAAACAGGATTACATCCATAGGTATAGTGGTTAGAATGCCAACACATATTTAAGGGGGACAGTTTAATCCATAATACCTTGCTACTCTCAAGTTATTTAAAGATAATCATCTTCCATCAATATGGGCTCTGAACACATGTCAACTGTGACATAAAGTATTTAACCAAAGAAATCGCTTATTCTTTCCAACACTGGGAGAAGCAATTGTCTTCCACTTATTGAGAGGCAGTGTGTTGATCTCCAATGTGTTAGCTTCTCTGGAGAATTTTCAAGGTAATTTTGACTACAGTTTTCTTTAGAGTTTTTGCCTTTACATGAGAGGTGTGTCCATTTAAAATTTAAGCTGTTGTAATAATATATAAAACAGTAGCATTGGTAATTAGAATGACAGAAAAATAATCAACTTTGGAGAGTTTTTGTGTTTCTGTTTGAACTTGTTACATTTACTTTTTATTCCACACAGTCTTATCCTTGTCTTAAAGAATATTACTTCTTTTTGCTTCGTATAAATACATGTCATGTTTCTACCTAGACTCTAAAATGTACAAGGTCAAACTATTTCTTCTACTTATTTTATATTACCCTAGAGCTTTTAGTATAATAAAATGCTTAATTTTTATCCATTGAGTTAATTAGGACTTTGGAAATAAACACATCAAACAAAACAATCTAGTTATGACATGATATCTCCATGTCCAATGAGTGATGCTAATATAAATCAGCTACATATATATAAAGCATCAGAAGGAACAGGAAAATAAACCTTTACCTCTAAACCTGATCTTTCTTTTTCTCCATCGTTCCTCCCAATCTCTCTCTGCCCTTCTCTTCTTACTGCTTTGCTTTTCTAATTCAGGCAATCCTAGGGATAACCGGTTTTATTTTCTCTAGCTCTTGAGCTACAGGCTTTAGATAGAAAAAAGTAATAACAGTATTCACAAAATAGTATAGGTGGTAATACTGCTAATAGAAAGTGAAATTTGCTATTGATAACTAAAATTTACCTAAAAATCCTTACTGCATATCAGAACTATTTACTTACATATTTATGTATTTTTTGCTAACTATGTAAATGTTCATTGATTAAAGAATTTTAACATGATGTGAGAAATATGAAGCCCTGGTGGCGCAGTGGTTAAGTGATATGGCTGCTAACCAAAAGGGCGGCAGTTCAAATCCACCAGCCACTCCTTGCAAACCCTATGAGGCAGTTCTTCTGTATCCTCTAGGGTCACTATGGATCAGAATCTACTCTATGGGAATGGGTGACAAATATGTTGAAAGAGAACGTTTTTCATTTTCACCAGACACAGATTATAGTATGTTACTTTAGTTATTAGCAAAACCTTTAATATAGACAGCCTGGATCTGGAGATGGGACTGTAATAAAAAGATAAAAGCATTTCTCATCTGGGTCACTGTTTAGAGTTCCTACAGAGTAAGAGTCAGGAGTATATCTTAAAGGTAGAACAGGGCATAGGTGTAGCTCATCCTCAAGATTAAAATGAGCTGTAGCCAGAGCTGTGTGTGGCTGTCAAACCAGCAGTCAAAGGATGCCCCAGAAAGGACAAGAATACCTATATTGCCCTAGCTAGGGAGCTACAGCTGGTTTACGTTGTTTATGCAAAGGAGAAAGAGAAGGGGCTCCCTGTACCTCCTTTTATTATTATTTGTGGAATAATTTTAAATTGAGTATATTAACAATCTAGAACCATTTAGCACTGAAGAAATTTCAGTAATTCATTTTGTAACTTTTATTAGGAAATAACAGACTTATGAGGAAGTATGTTTTATATACTACAAATTGTACATAAAACATGAGCAAAATCAAAATTAGTGCTACAATGATAAACCTGAATATCGGTTAGACAGTGATCATTTCTTGAAGAAGGTGGTCTTAAGATAGGGTCTTGAAATAAGAGTAAAATTTTAATTACTAGGAAAGACAAATGATGATACTAAAACAGAGAAAACAGCATTTGTTTCTTCCTTTAGTAGATTCTAACACTGTATTAGGATTAATGAAATACAAGTGAATAATAAGTTAAGATCCCCAACCTTGAGGAATTCAATCTCATGGGAGGAAAAGACATGTAAGTTAATAATTGCATGATAGTGTCATAATGTTATGTTATATTTATGCAGTGTAACACAGTACAGTGTTACAGGATGCTGCTGACCCACGGGACAAAATAACCAGCTTCTGCTTGGGGAGATCTGAATCTTTAAGGATGAGTAGGAAAGTTGAAGTAGAAATTTGACATGTTGAATAGGTAGAAAGAGCATTCCAGGCCAAGTGAACAATGTGCTGCAATTCCAGAGACATGATGCCACTGCATAGGCTATTTGAGGGCTTTCTAAGTGCTTTAGGGAGCTCTGGTGGTGCAGTGGTTAAGCGCTTAGCTGCTAACTGAAGGGTCGGTGGTTTGAACTCATGAGCTTCTCCACAGAGAAAGATGTAGCAGTCTGCTTCCATAAAGATTACAGCCTTGGAAACCCTATGGGGCAGTTCTACTCTGTCCTGTAGGGTCACTGTGAGTCGGAATCAACTTAGTAGTGAAAGGTTTAATGGGTTAGTGCTTTGATACATAAGGAGTGGGAGATTACCAATAAACTGAGGCAAGATACTTCATTTAAAAAAAAAAAAAAGATACTTTTACCCTTTTAATATAGGCACGCTAACCTCTAGCCATACTGAATTTCTTGCAGTTCTTCAAAATTCTATTCAGCAAATATTAATTGAACATTTAGTGTGTGCCAGGCACTATTGTAGGCAGTGGTTATACATCGGTGAATAAAATAGACACTACCTTACGTAGCTTATAGGCTGGTGACTAACACTGGTAAGTGTATAAGCACCTGGACTACAACCTGCTAAATGCTAAATAACATAGGTAAGTGTTGCTGGTATAGGAACCTAGAAGAATGACAACCAAGTCCAAGCTGTGAACTGAATGCTAAATAAGATTGGTTAGAATGTGTGTGGGGATAGAAGGAAGGCAGAATTAGTAGCCATCTAGGCAGAGGAAACTAGCTGAATATATGAACGCACAGAGATGGGAAATAGCATAGCACTTTATCCATCCAGTTTCCCGCCTCCACTCTTAGCCCTGTGCAGGCCATGTGTGCACAGCAGGTTGATTCTTTAAAACCACAAATTAAAATCATGACAGTCTTCTGCTCAGAACCCTCCAGTGGCTTCCTATCTCTCTCAGAATAAAACTCACCACAGTCTTACCATGGCTGACAGTGTCCTATGTGATATGTCTTCTGGCAACATTTCTGATCTCATCTCACTCTCAGCCTAGCTTACTCCACTCCAGGCACCTTGGCCTCTTTACTTTTCCTCAGACATTCCATAAGTGATTACACATACAGCCCTTGCACACACTGTTCCTTTTAGAAGGTTTCCCCAGGATACCTGCTTGATTGGTAGCCTCACCTTGTTCAAGACTGTTCAAGTCGAAGAGGCCTGTACCGATAAGACTGTATTTATAAAATAGCAGCCCCTCAGCCCTATAGTCATTATCAACTTACTCTTCATTCTTTCTCCTCAACCTGAAATATGTTTGGTATTGTCATTGTTAGCATTATTGTATGAGTCATCTCAGTAGATCCTAGTAGGTACTTCTGCCTTTTTTTTACTACTGCTTTGCACATCATAAACAATAAATAATTGTTGAATTGTACATAGGAGGTTATGCGTATGATGTTTTATTTTTTCACCTTTGTATCTCCCAGGGCACTTAAGTGTTAGGTGAGTTCATATGCTAATAATAAAACCCAGTTGAGTTTTCAGGTATATTTTTTAACATTTTTTTTTTTTAATAAAAGTAATGATCCCTTTTTTATAGCTTAAATTTTCCTTTTTTTTTTTTAGCTATTAGTAAAGACATTCACAGTATTATTTATTGCTGTTTTAAATTTATAGTGTATTTTTATTTTTTATCCTGCAGTTTGTCAGATTAACAGTATGTCTGAATCTTTGAAGTTTTATTTGTGTAAATTAAATAATACTAATAAAAATGACTATAATATAATAACAAATAGGCAGTCATTTTGTAACAGGTTATTTTTCCTAAAAATTATATTATTAAAAGTTATGCCTTAGATTATTCTTCATCCAACCATAGATATAACCACAGTATATTAAATAGGCAATGATTCAAGTACTGTACATTTCAGTAATTTAAAATAGTACAGTTATATACAGTGAGTTCTAAAAAAAAAACATTGGTTATACGTAGAGTCACAGTTTACATGTGCCACATATTGCTAGCCCTAGTAAATGCTGATTATTCAATTCTCTTATTCATCATCCTATTTACTATTCTTTCCACTTTTTACAATTTACACTACTCCTGCCTTCCCAAAGAAAGCATCATCTGGACAGCCGTGAATGGAAAGCACTCATGGATGAGCAATCAGATGGTTGTTCACTGCAAAATGGTGGGAAGGGTGACCAATAATAACAGATTTTATGTGCTATAGTCTGTTAGTTTCTTTACATCCCCTGGTCCTCCAGCTCCTCCTGTCTTCTTTCTTTCCTAACTAGTGCCATCCCAGTCACACCCTTTTGCTAAGACCATAAGATGAGTAGGTGACGGCCACATGTCGAATACAAGTATTCATTTTTAGGTCATGAATTAGATCAGTAAAATATGAAACGTTAAAATGTAAAGATTGCCTGTGTGTCACAAATATAAAGTCTTTTCTCTTGCCAAAATTATAGGGGATGGAGTGTTAGATCTCTCTACAAAGAAAACCAGCATAAAATCTGAAGAATCGTCCATATGTGATCCTCCTTCTGAAAATTCAATGGCTGGGTAAGCAATATCTAGGAAATATAATTCAGTACTAATATTAAATTACCTCTGCATAAAACTGTTAATACTATTTTGCGTAGATTTACATATGTAGTTTTCCTCCAGAATTTTTGTCACTCATAAGTATGTCTCTCTCATACGTTCATTTGTCCTTTGTCTTTCTTTTTTATTCTTTCTGTTAAAGAAAAGTTATCAGAACAATCACCAAACTTTAGTTCATGTTGCTAAAGTGAACTACCAACTTAATCATAGAATACAAACTAAGAAGCAGGACAAGTAAAGACAATTTTAAATATGCAGGAGGCAATTTTAAGGAAAATATTTAATTTTAATATTTAAGTTTTAAAACAGTGAACAGATTCTAAAAGTAATATACTTAATACTTCTTAAAGCTAGCTGATAGTGTTTACATTTTTTTTCATTGTGCTTTAGGTGTGGTGACAAACTATTTAATTTTAGTAATCACCACAAATAGACCTTTCATGTTTTGAAAACTGTCATTAAATTATTTAAAATAAAAAATTAGTTATAAAATGCTGTTCTGTTGGATTCTTGGATTTATGATTTTATTTTTTAACTTTTGCATCTTCCCATTAACTACAAGCATAGGAGGCTTTTTTGTCACATTTAAATCTTAGATGTAACCTATAATTTGTTTCAACCAAGGTTGTAGTTGCATTTGAATCATAAGTTACAGTGAGCTTTCTATTTGAGGAACTTTGAAAATTACAGAGATACATTAGAAATAGAAGTAGCATTTATAATATCCAAAAGTAACTCATTTTCAAATATGATTTATTGACTTATTTCAAATTTTAAGTTTTTGTCTAGAGAAAAATTAGTCTGTGGAAATATGGGATGTTTGTGTTTGGTAATATTCTTGCTGCTACAAATTTCCTTTAAAGGGGTTGACTCTTTTATTACTTGTTTAGTGGTAACGTCACGTTTCTACTAACAAAAACTCCTTTAGGATTTGGGTATTTTTTATAATGGAACACTAATTGTGCAGATAAAAATTATAAGTGTTGCTCTGCAAGCATCTGTCAGAGGAATAGCAACATCATGAGAATATTTTTACAAATACTGAGTTAGGATTTTATGTTCTTGGAAGGTCTGCCTGTTGAGGCCACCGTATGATTGACACATTGTCCTACCAGGACTGTAGCGTTTGCTTTGATAAGGAGTAACTACTACATCTCACAGACTTAAAAGTGTCATAAGCAGTGATGTTACCTAAGCAAGGAGTATAATAAAGGAGTGGACCCTCCCCTTCCATAGCTGTGTGAGAGTCTCTCATGCATCAGTTTACCATCGTTTCATTCCATCCATCCAGGAGACTACACAGAAACAGAGAGGACTATGTGGAAAGAAGTGCTGAGTTTGCAGATGGTTTGCTCTCAAAAGCTTTGAAAGACATTCAGTCTGGAGCACTGGACATAAATAAAGCAGGCATACTTTATGGCATACCTCAAAAAACTTTACTTCTCCACTTAGAAGCCTTACCAGCAGGGAAGCCTGCATCTTTTAAAAACAAAACTCGAGATTTCAATGATAGTTACTCATATAAAGACAGTAAAGAAACTTGTGCAGTGCTGCAGAAAGTAGCCTTGTGGGCAAGAGCTCAAGCAGAGCGCACAGAAAAAAGTAAAGTCAATCTACTTGAAACCTCAGAATTAAAATTCCCAACAGCTTCCAGTTACCTCCATCAGTTAACTCTACAGAAAATGGTTACTCAATTTAAAGAAAAAAATGAAAGCCTACAATATGAAACTTCAAATCCTACTGTACAGTTAAAAATTCCTCAGCTACGAGTGAGTTCTGTTTCAAAACCACAACCTGATGGTTCTGGTCTGCTGGATGTTATGTATCAAGTTTCTAAAACCTCTTCAGTCCTGGAAGGATCAGCTCTCCAAAAACTGAAAAATATACTCCCTAAGCAGAACAAAATAGAATGTTCTGGGCCTGTAACTCACTCAAGTGTTGACTCTTATTTTCTACATGGGGACCTCTCTCCTTTGTGTCTTAATTCTAAAAATGGAACAGTTGATGGAACCTCTGAAAACACTGAAGATGGATTGGATCGAAAAGATAATAAGCAGCCCAGGAAAAAACGTGGCCGCTATCGGCAGTATGATCATGAAATAATGGAAGAGGCTATTGCAATGGTAATGAGCGGAAAAATGAGTGTTTCCAAAGCACAAGGAATTTATGGGGTACCTCACAGCACTTTAGAATACAAGGTAAAAGAAAGATCTGGAACACTGAAGACTCCTCCGAAGAAGAAACTCCGATTACCAGACACTGGGTTATATGTGACAGATTCAGGGACTGGCAGCTGCAAAAACAGCAGCAAGCCTGTGTAGATTACTTGTTAGGAAAATGTTTGTATGCGCGTGTGTGAGTGTGTGTGTTTGTGTGTATGTGCACAGGTGTGTATTTGTGTGTCTGTATACACACATGTGGGAATTACAAATGCTCACTCTGACAGGAGACATGAAATTTTACAGTTCAAAAACCACTTACATGCCTTTTGAAAAAAGTTTTATTCAGGGTTTTCACTGTGGACAGAATTATATAGTTGCTTACTTAATTCTGATAGTTTGTATCTAATCCTTGTATAAATAGGTGAAAAAGATTCAGGTTTTCTTTAGTAGTCAATAGCATAAAGCGTTGTGGGAAAACAAGTAATTGTCAAGTGAAACATTTTTATTGGTGAAAGACCACTCCAGCCATTCAGTTGAACCATCTTGTAATGAAAATAAGATATTAATCGTTTATAAACATTTTTACGTAACATACTTACTGTTATTGTAAGTACATCAAACAACCGATCAAAGTTTAAATGGACAGCTATTTCCATACTAAGAAAAATTAATATATACAGTATTAGTACACTACAGTGCATTCTGTGAAATACAAAATGCACTCAAGTGCATCCACCAGGAATAGAGAAGGAAACCTTAAATGATATGTATAATGAAATTTAATATTTATCATTTAATAGTTGATTTAGCAGGAAGATGGGGTTTATAAGGTATATACTTTAAAAAAAAAAAAAAAAAAAA